TTGTCGCTCAAGGGAAGTCTTTCTTTAAGGTTTTTAAGTTATCACGAGTTTTACCACCATCAAAGAGCTAATACTATAATAATTGTAATTAGATCGAATCAGTGTCGTCTTAATCAAGTTTTAAGTGAAGTCAAGAAAGTGAGGTTCCGCTGCATCATCAGTTTAGCGTAGGGAAACAAGCTGTGGTCAATATCCGGTAGAAGAGAGTGGAAGACCTAGAAAAAAACTTAACTAACACAGAAGAAAATCAAGTCAAAGCACATGAGACACACTTAAAATTTCAAGAAAAATTTCGAACGAATTTGCGACAGAGAGAGAAACAAGAAGAGAAGATTTTAGAAGAACATAGTATTTGAATATGCAAAAGTCATTTTTACCGTAGTAAGATATAAACCAAGAAATTAAGAAAGACCGACAAAATATCACAAGATTTGAAATTACCTAAAACAAATGCACTGAAAAGCCTAGTTGTTCACTACCAAATATTAGGTGATGGTGTCCGAGAGAAGTTAGGAGCGGCCTTAGAACAAAATTTTGTCTTAGAAACAGAATTAGCGTCAACTAGAAGAAGAATTGAAGATGTTTATGAAGAAAAAGTACTTATTGTAGAAGTTTGAGAAACATTTTAAGAAATAATTAAACGAGTGAATTAAGAAAATGAAATACATGAAGTTGGAAAAAAACGAAGAAAAATTTGAACAGATGTATGTATCCAGAAAAACCTAATAATACTATATTCTTGCAGGCAGCAACCTAAGTTTCACTTAACCAAACCTTAATCCTCTGTTGTTTTTTTGTAAATAATTTTAAATTGTTATTTTATTTTTTATGATTGTATTTGCGCGAATATGTAACTTAACAAGATGCGCGAGGAAAGCAGGAGCATTAGTGGCCTATCTCGCAAAGCGTGAGCGAGCTGGTTGCATTTTAAAAGTAACTCGTTTAAATTAGCGAGTTAAGTATGTTAATCAAAAATTGGCCGTTCCTTATGCGAGGATCCAGTGAAAAAATCGACATTTAAATCAGCGAAGGTGCTGATCCACATTTGAACATTTGAAAGTAGTCCGTGGAAACTAATCTATTTACAAAGGTTGTGGTGAAATATCGAGAATAGTAAAATAGAAAAAATAGTATAAGAAACACGTTTCATAAGACGCATCTTATAAAACTTGTTTCTTAATGTACTATTTCCAATATCAGAAAGGTAGGAAGAACACTCTGAAAACGGAAAGCAAAAAACAGAAAAAAAACTAGAAAGAGCTATAGGGAAGGCCTACGTCTCGGCCTACGTCCAAAACTGAACGAATTGGCCGAAAAAGAAGAGAAAGTGCTCAATTAGCGGAAAAAAAATTAGATGACCTAATTCCCCGAAAGGTTTTTTTTTCTTTTAGCATCATTTAAGGGTTATTATATGAGTATGAACACTTCACAAAGAAATGAAGAATTAGAGAAAAGCGTAATGAGAAAACGTTGTTCCAGTTCAGATTTATCATAGCAATCAGTCCAAATGTCAATGTGGATCTCGATTTTTCTGCGCAGCATATAGTAATACTGGTAGTTTCGTTCAATTAACTATAGGTTTTATATACCTAGATGTAATTAAAACGAACCGAAAAAAAGGGGTGTATGGACCTTTTCTGCACGACCGTAAGAGTCACACTCTGCCAACCATGATATTTTTAATTAAGAGGTCTAATAAAATAAGTACCAAACTAAATTAAAAGCACCGCGGGAATCCGGCGCGCCGTAAACCGCGTTTTCGCGAAATTAATTAAATTTCTTTAGAAAAAAAAACACATATTTCACCGTTCTGTAGATATAAGTAGTTAAATTGCCATTCAATGCATTTGACTGCCGATGTGAGAGAAATGCAAATCCTTATTGGGAAAATTGTAAAAATGCCCAACAAAATATTTTCACGTTGCTTGTGATATAAACAAATATGACTGCATTAGGATGCTTTGTGCATAAGCAAAATGCTATAAGGTTAGAAGAATGTAGCCGTATGTTGGGAATTAAAATTCATATCGGAGGAAAAGTAATAAACCATTTATTTAATGTTCATTCCTATTTGAATTAATTGTTATTATAAAATGTTAACAAGATTTACGTGGGCGCCAGTGTTCAAGAAAGGTGACGTCGACGTGTGGAAAACTCATTTATTTGACCGTTAACACTCGAGATTGCAGAAGTCAGATTTAGCAGGTACAGTTACGCAGAAAATAAATTTAAACGGGTAACGTGCGTAAAATTTTGAAAACCGTATTAGAATGTTAACCAATCATCTACACTTAAGCATAAGAAAAAAAGATTTGCGCTATATTCTTCAGAGACCATTGAACATTTAGGCAGTCATTCTACCTATATGGAGTCTACTACAATCGAATGTTACCAAGACCTAGAAATAAGCTAGGTAACAGAAAAATACCGATTCCAAAGTTCTTGTTTAGTTAAAAGAGTGGTAGAATTAATAACCAGAAATATAATCAACTTACCTTCAGGAGCCGGGCCCCACAAGTAACTATTTGACTTCAGATCGTGGTAGGAGGGCTGAATGTTTGATGAAACCTGCAAAATAATAGAAATGAACATGATGCTCTCTTGGAAAACTGGTGATCATAAACGTGAAAAGGGAATTTGCAACTATTATGTTTGTAATGGCTTGTCCGGGTTCTCGTAACGTTACTGTGATTATTTTAGCCAAGGATCCAAAGAGCACACCTCGTATCACACCGTTATCGTTATGCTTCTATCTAAAGGAGGATAGATAGAGATACCACCCGTACATCTGCGCATGCGCGATTCTGCTCTTTTATATCTAAGAATAAGCGTACCAATTTTGGTTCTAATCGGTTCAGCCGTTTAGCCGGAAATGGGAGTACAAGCGAACCGACGGACAGACAAACCGACAGGCCGACTTCATCGAGATTTTGTTTGATTAGGATTCCTGGTGCTTCAAAACGTGTATTTCCGTCAAAATCCGCAATGCAATACCCCCCTTACTGACGTGCGGGTGGTAATAAGCAAGTAGATACATAAGTTCGGCATAGTCGCTAAATCGAAACAAATGATATATAAAGGGGTGGCCGAAAATAAAAAAAACACCTTTGAGCTCTTGGTTTTAACGGCTTTTTGAGCTCAGAAGAGCGCTTTTTTGCCTTATCTGTAACAGATAACAACACAAACAAACAAACAATGGGGATAGCGAATAGCGAGACATATAAATATTGCGGTAGCAATGTCTAACGTTCGACACTAATCAGGTACCGGTATACTAAAACCGTAATTAATATTCAATAAGAATCAATAATTCAAATGACTTTACACTAGCAAAGGAAAACTTTGATTGATCTCGAATTCGGTGGATAAAAGCGTAAACGTGACGTTAACTTCATGAAAACTACTTTATAAATTGATTCAAAATGTAAATAAAATAATATGACCAAATTCTTTGGAGTGACACAAATAACGGAACTAAAAATCGTAGATATCGGTTCCGGAATAAGTCTCGGTAACTTCAAAAACTAATTTACAAGGCAAAGCGATTCCATAAATTTGGAAAACAGACTGATATAAAGGATATGAAACGTATGTTAAGCTAGTACAAAAGAATCTTCGAAGTGGCTAAAAGTATAACGTAGACAAAATCGGAGTGAAAAAGATGTATTCTTCGGTAACCACAAAAGCAAAGTACGTAGAATCAGAAATATTGAAGCGATTCGCAAAGTTAATGTTCTCCAAAGGGTTTCGTTATACTTGCAGTACAGCAGCAATACGTCTCCAGGTGTAAAGCTGAATTTATAGTTCCGTACCCGCAACGCCGTACCGTAACGTTTGGAATTAAACCCTACTTGTTGCGTGTGAACATTTATAGTTCGCGTTAACGTTGCGTTAGAACGGTTACGGTACGTAGGAAATGCCCAAATCTTATTTCTTACGGTAAATCGTGCTAACGCGTTTGTCGTCGGCAGTACTCGGATAATTCAAACAGTTGAGTTTATCCTGACGTTCGTTTCGTTTATTTACAATAATTATTGACACTTTGTTGGTTATTATTATTTTGAAATGCACGTTACTCTTACTGACAGATGACATACAATGGCAGATCTCGTTTCGCACTAATGCGCAAGCTCATCTCTTACCACTACGGTAATGTACCGTTTCGTTATGACATAAAACATACGCAAACATTTACAAAAAAATAAAAATTATGTAATCATTGTGAACACATACGTTGGTTTGCTACTATTCAACATTATGAATTATGTATCTGTTATGTTTTTGTTACGCTTATGTCCATTGTGAACAAGCACTAACTATAAATCGTATAATTTTCGTTAACGTAAGATTTTACGGTTCCGTTCTTACGTTCATACGGCTACGGAACTATAAATCCGGCTTAAATGTTCGAAGTAGGTAATGCAATGTCTCACGTGACGTCGCCAATGTTAATCTCACTAAGATGGCGGTGGAATATTCCAAGGTGTGGTAGCTAGGAAATGCAATCCCGCAGCAAAATTTCAATCCCGGTATTAGCGGGATTGTTAGATGTTAATCCCGCGGGATCCTGGTATTTGCGGGATCCCGCAAAACTTTAAATAAATTGGCAAATAAGCAATTCTGTGCGTTAACTTTTGTATTAAAATAAATCGCTAATTATCACAATATTTAACAAAAAAGGACCTTCAGCCTAACTTAGAACTCAACAAAATCTCACCTGTAAAGCACAAAAAGGTGGACTTCTAAGGAGCCTCAAAAATCATAGTACATTTTTAACGAAAAAAGTATAACAATTATTTAAAAAATAACTTCTCCGTTATGCGTTTCATTAACAAAGTAAACAGAGTCGTCCCCTTGGTCGACAAATTCCTCAGTTAATTAATAGATCAGAGTATAATAAAAACCTATAATTTTATTGTTTTTCTATGGGCTATCGATTTCGCCTTATAGGGCTTCATCAGGCCGTAGCTAAAATACATATATATGTTGAACGCGTGAAATTTTTTCAAAATCTATCTTACCGTCTACTGAATTACATTTTGTAACAAGATGGAAATGTATGATGTAATGTCCATATTTTTATATAAAATTGAATTGAATGATGTATGTGTGAGCGCTGAAATTGAATTAAAGGTTAGTAAATCGTATATCAGAAATAAATTAATTACTTACATGTTTTAAGTGCAGTGTGTGTGTGTATCAGTATGTGAGGTTATGTATGAGGCAGTGGCGTGTTATGTGAATGGGCAACGTATTTATAAAGATGATTATCATTGAATTCAGTTATGTCATTTATTAATTTGAAATTAGGATCTTGTAACGCTTTGTGAATTTCATAGTGTTCTAGTATTGTTAATTTTTTGTAATTGTTGGTTTTGTGTAGAATTTTTGTATTGTCTATTGATATTGTGTGTTTTGTGTTATTTATGTGGGTACCTATGGCTGAATGTGGTTTGTTTTTGTTGTGTTAGTGTTAGTGTGTGGTGTTAGTGAGGGTGATGTTGTAGGGGTTTAGTGCTTTTTGTACGTGTGTATGTATGTGTTTGTAGTATGGGATGGTTATGTATTTATTGCTGTGTTTATGATGTGGATATATGTTTTTGAGCAAATGTTTGTACTTGATTCTTTTAAAAATGTTATTAATGAGGGTAGGTTTGTAGTTGTTATTTTGAGCTATCTGAAGGATCGTGTTGTATTCGTTATGAAAATCTAATGGGTTTAGGGGGGTGTTTAGCAGTCTATTAAAGAGGAAGTTGAAGGCGGCCATTTTTATGTTAGGTGAGTGATAGGAGTTGTAGGGTATTATAACATCAGTGGTAGTTGGTTTCCTGTATATATTGTATGATATGTGGTTGTTATTGTTATATAGAGTGATGTCTAGAAAGTTAAGTGTGTTATTTGATTCTGTTTCTAATGTAAATTTTATGTCTGAAATATTGTTAATAGTTGTGTGGAAGTGATGAAGTTGTTCTATTGTCCCACTCCAAATGACAAATATGTCGTCTACATATCTTAACCAGGTGGTAACATGTTTGAAATTTGGTAGATTTTTAATTCGAAGTTCAAGGTGATCAATAAAGATGTTTGCTAATAGTCCACTTATGGGATTTCCCATAGGTAGACCGTCTTCCATTTTGTAAGTTTTATTGTTAAACATGAAGAAATTTAAGTTTGTGACATGTTGAAATAATTTTAGTAGAATATTGATGTCGATTGGATCGAGGTTGTAGTTTTTTCTGAAATCATCGTTATCATATAACAAATCTGAGAGTATCTGTAGTGTTTCTGTTTTAGGAATATTAGTGTACAAATTTACAATGTCGAAAGATATCATTGTGAATGTTTTGTGTTGGAGTTGTAGCTTGTTAATTTCTTGAATGAGTTGATTGGAGTTTTTTATGGATTGTGTGGATTTGTATTTAAATTTATGTATCATGATGTTGTTTAGTAGTTTAGCTAAGTTGTGTATGGGTGAGTTTGTTGATGCTGTAATTGGGCGGATTGGTTTATCTTGTTTGTGTAATTTAATTAAACTGTAAAGGATCGGAATTTTTGGGTTTCTGTTTTTTATTGTGTATGGTGTGTTTGTGAATTTATGTAATGTGTGTTGTGATTCAAGTAATATTTTGTTTGTGATTTCTATATATTTATTGATTGGATTGTGTTTTATTGTGTTGATGTTATTATCTGAAAAGAATTGTTCCGTTTTTGATATGTAGTCTTTGGTTTCGATAATTACCAAACCTGCGTTTTTGTCAGCGCATGTAACTGTGAGGTTGTGGGTTTTGATTTTTTGTTGTAAAGTTTTTATAGTGTGTGTAATGTTTTTATAGGTAGTGTTAGGAGTGTATTGCGATTTACTAACCTTTTTGTTCAAGATTTTAATGACGTTTTCTTTGGCGTGGTTGTATGCTGGAAGATGTTTTAGTTGAGCTTCAATATCTATGGAAATGAGATGAGGTGAGTAACAATTAGGATGTGGTGCGAATTTGTGGCCTAGATTTAAGATTTGTTCTTCTTTTTTGTTAAATGTGATGTTTGATAAATTTGTAAATCGTGGTGCGAATTGAGTTACTTTTGTTTGCTTCTGTTGAGGGATACTGTCGGTGTCTTGCGGATTGATGCTGTCGGTATCTTGTAGAAGGAAGATGTCGAAGTCTTGCAGCTGGTAGTTGTCGGTGTGTTTTGCGGCTGGGCGTTGTCGGTGTCTTGTGTTGAGGATCGATGGTTGGAGGAAGGAGATTTTGAATCTATGTTGATATGAGTAGTTCTGGGTGAAGTTGGGGGTGTTTGTTGATATCTTGGTTTTTCTTGAGGGTGTTTTTTGTGTTTTTGTGGTGCCTTGTTTTTGTTGTTGATTAGATGGTCTAGTTTTTTCCATCGTTTATGGTCTAATTCTTGGTTATTGGATTTGATTTCTTCTTGTAAATCGTTGTATATTGTTTCGTATTCCATGTAGTGTAAATGTTGTAAAAGATGGTGGTGGAGAAACTTGATTTTTGTGTGGGTGATGGTTCTGGTCTTATGTTGATTGTTTATTTCTTGCTTCAGTAGGGTTTTATAGATTTGATGTTCTTCCGTTGGATTGTATCGTTTTCTAGGCAATTTGATTCGTAGAAATTTGGGAATGATATCGTTCATTTTTGCAGCGTAAAGAAATTTGAGGTGTTCGTCGTTTTTGTGTTTTTTATTAAGTCCCTCAGTCCCGCAAATCCCGCGGGATCCCGCTCCATTTATGTGCGGGATCAATCCCGCAAAAATGCTGCGGGATCCCGGTATTTCGGGATCCCGGTATTGCATTCCCTAGTGGTAGTCAATTTCGACGTAGATAATTATTTCACAACGGATGTTGACGTAGTAGCGGTTAGGTGGATAATAACGAAAAAGTAATCCGGAAAAAAAAATTAAGACAAACAATGATAGCTGCATGAGGGGAGGCAAAGCCCTCACACTGTTTACTTGCAAATATAAATACGCTAAGCATATTCAATGCAGCAGCCACAACAGATCAGAAATAGAGAGAAACACCTTTCCTCTGCACAGAACGAATACTCATACAAGTATACGCGAGACCAAATTAAAGAAGGGAAATAATTGTGAATTCTACTGACAAGAGAATAAAGTAGGGTCAATAAAACCTATAACACTCGGATGGCCTCTAGCGGCAAAAAAAAAAGAACTGTCTTAACTACATTGGAATTTAAATTGTTAAGGAAAAAAGAACGTTACTAAGAGTAACTGTAAGGAAATGGAAACGAGCTTTAAGAGAAACTGAAATGAACAACAGGTGAACCCAAAGAGAATGCGATAGGAACGTGAGGGATGCTTGAAAGGTAACTTAGAAAGCAAAATTTGAGAACTTGATTAGTATTTGGGACCTAAAGTCGGAGAAAATTTAAAGAGGAACTTGAGATAAGCAAAACTTGAGAAGAACATGAAGGAAATGTGGGAGGCACTCGACGCGAACTTAACTTAGATTAATGTAAGAAGAACATAAGAAGTTGAGAATAACTTGAAAGCTTGAGAAACAATTAAGAAGAAATTGAAAGTTTAGAGAAAAAGTTTAGAGAAGCTAAGGAAATACTTTACCAAGACTTTAGAGAACCTTGTGAAGAATTTTACGAGGGGTTGAGGAGAGCGTTTCTATATTCAATTTATTATATTGTTATTATATTATTATTTATTATATTCTTAAATGTATACACATATAGGCTATGTATCTATACTCAAAAAATCGGATCAAACGCGTGAAATCATGATACTAGCGTTGAAGATTAATAGCTAACCCTAATTTGATATAGTAACTAATTAAGTTACTGTTTCCATAGCATACGCAGATTATCATTTAAAACAAATTCGTATAGAGTTGTTGCCTATTATTCTCAACTATGTATTCAATGCAAATGATCCGTTTTTTTTTAAAATAGACCATAGCCCATATGTATACAGTTAAGAAAAATTCCCTGTATACTAGTTCGTATATGAAATTTGACATTGGCATAAAATAATTGGGCACTACTTTTGGCATATATGTAATAAAGATCTTAGAGTTATGCATTTAATATTACATTTACTACTTTCGGAAATATTAAGGGTGGAAATTAGTGACGGTTCCTTTCCACTAATTAAATTTTCGAAGTCCAACTATTCTTACGAAACTTCGGCTAAAATGTTGTTCGCCGTTCACAATAAATCAAAGTGCATTCTTACTTAATTACACAGAAATTTATTAAATTGTTTAAAAAGGATCGTCATAAATTTTACTGGAGTGCTACGTAAAAAACAATGGAATGCATTACATGCACACAAAAAATCCATTAAAACAACAACTTTTAAAATTTAACTCTTTTTTTATAAATAAAAATTTATATAAATTACAGAAGTGCAACGTTCATTACTACTGACATATAATGAGATAATCTGACACAACTACAATTACAGACCGGAAGGAAACACGAGTAAAAAACTACTCGGAGATTCATCTTCGATACATTTCATTACAATATTTTTACATAATTTAAAACGGTCAGTGAGCTGTTCGGTTGAATTTACTGTCACTTTTGCTTGTTTTTTATTAAGTCCACCTGTGAGCTGCATTCATTTAGGTATTAATTTATAACTCTGGAACAGTTTAGCCTTTTATTGGTGCTGTACCTATTATGAATCAATTAAGATGATCATGTCCTATATTTACACGCTGAAGGGAATTTCTTTTCGTAAATAGTTTATTACAATGCTACAGAATCGACTTATGCATTTTTGGCGCGGTTGTAAATTGGGTATTCCATATTAATTGTCCGAACCCATTGCGATTTTGCTACGACCATTTCACCCTTAATTTTTGCTGAGCGGTATAGGATTTTTAATTAAACGTACTAGAAACAACAACCACTTCATTGAATTTTTGTTATTCTTTTATTGGTGCTTTTGAGCTCTGATTGTTTACTCTTTGGCGGCAATATACTGTACCTAAACCCACAGCGCAAAATCTCGATAATACGTAAAGTCAGGTTGTAGCTAATTACAAATGGTTCACCAGTATTTTTAAAGAAATGAAGCTCCCACATACTGCATAGGAACCCAAAGAAAGTAATTTTCTTCTTATACTGATTTAAACATTTATGTGTCTTTGGATACCAACTTCTTTCTCATTTTGCTTTATTAAAGTTTGTACCTTGGCATAAATGAACTGGTTGGATGGTATCCTGCCTGTATTTTTACATTGACGTTTCTAATTCGACAATATTTTCTTCTTATTTTGGGATTGTTAGTCCTATTTTACCCCTCCACTGATCATGACATTTTTTCGCCTAATTTCCACTAACTTCCTTTAACGGGAAAGTCGTGGAAGCTCCCACCATTCGCATAAATTTGACTGACATCCCTAATCAAGCAGTCATCCGCGTTCAATTTTTTAAGATTGCTGATACTTTCGTAACTTTTTAGTAGATAT